AACATTCATTTTCCAATACAGGATTTTTTACATGTTTTATTTGGCATCAAACCAGACCCAATCTGACTCCAGTTTTAAACCCCAAAGTTAAATGCCTGTGCCTATGTACTGAAAAAATTTTATATGTGTATTTTAGCTATCACCTAATCAAAAATTAAACAGTTGGAAAATATATGTTATAAAAGGGGACACTGATTAAATATGATCTAAAGATAAAAAAGCATTAAAAGCTCTGACGTTTTCTATATATACAAACTTTTATCTTTTTAAAAGTGGAAAATTACATAACCTCTTGATTTTTTTATTTATTTATGCAGAGTTTAACAATGATGAAATGGAAATCAATTTTTCCACAAAAATGTTCAACTGTCAATTGAAATCCTAGAACATAAGGTTTGTTTAAGAAACATTGCAAAAGCAACATGGATCCAGGTGAGAAGGAATAATCAGAAGGCAGCTGAGAGACCGTATGGAGCAGCTGCACAGAGCTGCAAGCTCTGGTCAGAGTCATTCAGCAGGACAACTGTAAGTGGTCCATTTTACAAATATAGAGTTGTGGAACATCTTCATAGGTGCACTGCAAAAAAAAAAGAATCTAAGAATAAATACAAAATTCCTGAAATAATAACTCATTTGAGCAGGTAATTTAAATTATCTTCCTGTGGAATTAATATTTTGGTCTATAATACAAGATTATAACATATATTGCACTTAAAATAAGATGAATAAGATCTTTCTTTATTGTAAGTACAAAAATCTTAACCAGATACTCTTGAAGAGAGGTTCTCTTATACATAGATCTTATTTATCCAATCAAATCAAGTGAAAGTGCATTTATTTCAAAAAGATTTTATTTACCTTTAGTAAACGTTTTGCAGTCTTCTTTTCAAGAGGTCTTTCTAATTGATGGGAAGATGGAGGGAGCTAAATACTGGGTAAGCCTGAAAGGAAACTTGTGAAAGGTGGTCCATTTTTCAGCAGGGCAACAACCCTAAATATTCGCCCAGATTTACAGTAAAATTGTTTAGATCAAGGCTCTCAAAACTGCAGGTCTTCTGACAGGTTTTATGTGTCCCTGGTTCATTACACTAATGAGTTATTTCCTCTTCGTGGTGCATTTTTTAGTCCAGCTAATATCCTGATTTTTTGATCCAGGTAAGCTGAAGCTGATGCACATCAATACGTCTAAAGCTTGTGACCCTCGTTTAGAGCAAAGTGTGTTTAAATGGTTAAAACTCCAAACCTGAATCAAGTTACATCAATATATATTGCTGCGTTTAACTGGTTTAGGGTTAAGACAGTTTGCTGAGAATAATTGACAAAAATGTCCACCTTTAGCTTTGAAAAATTGTTAGAACCCCAGAAAAATTTCTTTGAGGTAAGTTTATGTTTTATATCATCAAATCTACACGTAACAAGTTAAAGTTTTAGTTTTAGTCACTAAAAAGCTAAGAGAATATGAATATTTTTGAAAAACCCTTTTAGCACCTAAACAGATTATTAAAAGGGCTTTACCAAGAAGAAATAAAGGTTCTAAAAGAATTTGAGTAACTTAGAAAAGAAGCAGTTTCCTGTTTTCCTGTTGTTAATGTTATCTGTAAGCAGAGGGCAAAGGACCGAACAGTAACAGCCAGATCAATGTGCGACTCAGGCTCATTGATATTTGGGAAGTGAAAAGCAGAACAGCGGAGCTGCATTAAAGTAAATGCAAAGGTGAGGCTACACAAGGAGGGCACTTATCAAACAGCATGAGTCAAGCATCTGAAATGCAGCGAAAGAGCAGAGACGGCTCTGATGAATCATATTTTCTTGCTGGAGGTCTGTGTGTACACACAGAGATACTCAGGGGAGGCAGCATGAAGGTACATCACTGAAGTTCAAGAATAATTACACCTATTAATGTCACAGTAAAGGTATTCACTGCTAGATGTAGGAATGTATCTTATTATTTTTATGAAAAGAAATATTTGCAACCCCACCCAACAACCTCCCCAGCTAAGAAACGTATCCCACTGTCTTTTGTTCATAATTTGTTTTTATTCATCGAATGTTTTGGATATTTGTGCATTTTGTGTCTCTTAATACAGACTCTAAACTGTGTCTTTACTTTGTAAATCTTCAACAAACTTTGTTTTCCTTTCTAGTCATTTAGAAGGTGCACCTTTTCTCTTTAAACTTTTTCTTTACACTCAACTTTCAACGTAGAATAACAATGCAATTTTTTTTATTTATTCCTCCTTGTTATCAGTGATACTCTACAAGTGTTGATAAAGCAGTGTTGCAGGTAAATGTGTAGACCATAATTTGGTTAAAGAATATTACTAAAATATTGATATTTTATATCAGCTGCAACCCATTAGAATGAAGACTAAATAAATGTTCGCTATGTATTAGTTTGTGTGCAAATAATCCCTTGAGTATATTAGTGCGGCTTAAAAGTGATTTACAGACATGTTCAGTATTGAAATGTGTGCAGAGCGACGGGTTTATGTGAATTGTGTACATGTGTTAACTTTAATAAAGCAACCTTTAAGACAGACTCAAAAAAGTCAAAGGAAACAGTCTTCAATTCAACAACCTTTAATTTTTCTGTCTGTTTGAAATCTTTCACAATTGAAATTGAGTGTTTACTCTCTAACCATTTGCATATCAACGTGAATTAGAACAATACATAGTAACTTCCGGACAAGTATTTTTTTTTTTTCCCATTTTCAGGAAGCCTTTAGGTGAAAGACAAAGATTATACAGTAACACAGAATACAAATCGTAACTGGGGCAAAGGGTAGCAATGGGTAAATACACAGCACAAGGAAGAGCTTAGAGCATAATGACTGACAAAAAATACACACATAATAGAATAAAAAACAATATTGATAAAATATTAAGAAAAAAAATAATAAAGACAGCAGTATACAAGAGATAGAGACAACTTTACATTTATACATAGTGGCCAGAGGCAGGCACTAGGAAGTAAAACAGTTTAAATACTGTATCATCGACTGCAGCTACTATAGCTAAAACAAATCAGTGCAGTTTAGAGGGGTCTAAG